AACAGTTTGGAGATTATGGGAAAATTATTAGACTAAAGGTGAGGACACAACAGTTCACCTGGCACAAGACTGAATCCAAACATTACACTGTTGATTTTATGTGCATTTTACATTTACTGTACTTTTCACCGCATTTGTTGATAACGAAATCTGAATCTGATAATACTGTGGATACATTCAGCAACATGATAATAATACTTTTGGGATATTTGGGGTAGGTACAACATAAGACACAAACATTGCAAGGGTTTGCGTGAGAGGTCAAACTGGGAGCTCAAAAAGAAGAGCTTTTTGAGGTCTACTAGCTGTGTCGTTGAGGAACTAGAGAAAGCACATCTGTAGTTGTTTTGTTTGGAACACAGCCCTGCATCCCACAATTATTGTTGTGTTTACACAATCCAAAAATGTTCCATTATAAATCGCAATCTGGGTCAGTGGGCATAATTTGAAAGCTTGTTCTATTGCCAACATGACTAGCTAACTGATAAAATATGATCTTACAGTGTGAGGATTTCACAAGGCAATGCAGAGAAGCAGATTGTAATTTTGGTGAGCATAGAATGGAGTCATGAGTGCATTCAGATGCGTGGTCCATGGCAAATTTTCTTCAAAATACAACAAACATAGGCTCATTCTGTTCAGGACAACCCAGGGTTTAATGCCATGTCATCTTGTAACTGTACATCAAACGTAGTGATAATAAACATTGAAACTGTATATATTACATGAGATTTATGATATGTACATTTGAAGTGCACATTTGGACTTACGGGTGTTTGGCTTGCTTGTATGACATCAAAGTGGTGTTTATTATAATCCTCAACATCTCATCTTTCAAAATACATAGAGTCATCTTAATTTACAGCATTTCCCTTACTCAGACAACAGAACATTTGCAAAAGTTGCCCAATTAACGGGAGGGATGGGGGCAACTTGTCGTGCGCGGGGCAGTTCAGAATGTCTGTCAGTCAAAACCCATACAGAGTTGTGAATCGGAGACCCTGAGCACTGATGTCATGTATAGCATGTTACTGTACAGCCACTATGTTCCAAGTTAGGCACTTATACTGGAAGTGTCCAAATCTGCCATTTTCAACCCGTATACGGGTACGAGTGTAAAGGGTTACCACAAAGGATCTGATGTGCTAGCTAGCTATAGAGAACCGCAAAGCCTTTCCTAGCAGATATCACCACACCCAATATGAACCACACAGAACCAAGCCATTTATGATAGGCCTACAGGGTTTGATGTTCTCTAGCTATAGAGAACAGTGAGGTCTTTTCCTAGCAGATACCACTAAACCCACTTTGAACCACAGAGGCTATACTTACAGAATGTGATGTGTTAGCTGGCTATATAGAATAATAGGGATATCAGATATCAATAAGCAGATATCACCACTGATCCAATATGAACCACAGAGCATAACATATAGGATTGAGGATTTGATGTGCTAGCTACAGTGAATAGAGAAGGCTTTACTTAGCAGATATCACAACACCCAAACCTAACACAGAACCATATAGAATTTGATGCAATAGCTAGCTAGGCCTTTCCTAGCAGATATCCCCACACCACAACCAATATGCCTTTGTCATGTGTCTGCAGAGGAATGTGCTGAAGGCTAGTAGGCTACCACAAGTATTCTGCTTGAGATGGAGATACTCACACATCACCATCACCAACCCAACTGAGGGTGAGGAGGGGAGGTGAGAGAGGAGTGAGGGGGGAGGAGAGGATGGGGTGGGAGGAGAGATAGGAGGAGGAGAGGAGGGAGAAAGGAGGTGGGAGAAGGTGAGAGAGGAGGGGGGAGAGAAGGAGTGAGGGGGTGAGGGTGAAGGAGAAGAGGAAGAGAGAAGAGAGAAGAGGGGGAGTAGAAGGAGAGAGGAGGTGCAACAGGGTTGAAAAAGCTTGAGATGAGCAGATGTTTTTACTGACAAGATTTTTGTGTTTATTTATATTTTTCAGAAATACTGCCAAGGCTGGCAGTCATAGATTCTTAGAAGTTTATGCAGCTGCACTTATTGGCATGTAATGCAACATATTGGATTAGAGAAGAGACTTGGAATCCGAGCTACCTCGGATAGGCCAAGCTATACTTCATCACTGCAAATGAGAACAGTAAGAGAGCGACCCAAAGTGACTGATGTCAAATTCACTGGTCCATGTGAAATAGCACACATTACACACATTGTTCAAATATGACCTGAGGGTGGACATAGGCTGAATACCGGACATACTGTAAGTCCACAATGTCCACTCTGCACACATATTGTATGCATACTTGGATTTAAAATTACAGTACAGTATATGCATTCATGACTTTATTGATTTGATTTAATACACATAATAATGTGCATTTTTGGCACAAAATAAATGTATCACTTCCCTGATTAGATTTTCTTGTGACTTTGCAGATATCTTTTTAAACCAGGGCTATATCTGGCCTCCATGTGCTGTGCTCCAGTTTCCCAGCCAAAAGCAGCAGAGAAATAGCTGTGTCATTGTGTCTGTTAGGCATTCTCTCAGAGAGAGTGAGAGAGAGAGAGAGAGACAGCGAACGAGAGAGAGAGAGAGAGAGAGAGAGAGAGAGAGAGAGAGAGAGAGAGAGAGAAACGAGAGAAAAATACCCCCGTTCAGAAACCCAGCCAGTGCTGCCACCTTCTGGACACCAGAGGTTTGTGGGACGTGGTCTTCATGACATCATTGTGATGGGTAAATAGATCAGATGATAACGCCAAAGTAAGAGCATCATTAGAAATGTAGGTCATGCATACAGGTATTAGGAGAGCCATAAAGGCTTTACATGGCTCTGTGCTGGTTGTTAGGCGATATGCCCTTCACAGAATATTACATGTTTTCATGTGCATAGGGGTTGAAACGTGTGCTATATTAATGTTGCTGTTGTTTTATGTTTGTTATTCAGACTATTTTCTGTGAATTATATCACGGTTAGTCCTTGAATCATTACAATAATGTATGTTTTCATTGAGTGCATTATAAAATATGTAAAAAGTGGCTGCCAGCATTTTGCAACATTTCTTAACATGGTCTCATGTGAAAATCAAGATAGATTAATCTGAAGCTGTGGTGCTCTATGAATCCAGTATCAATTCATCATAACATAGCTTATATTCAATGCTGTATTAGCGGCTGTAAGAAGACACTAATGCTATCTATACCAGAGGCTTTGGTTTTTTCAAAACTTGTGGAATGTCACTTGCACCCAATAGCCACTAGATGACACTCCTTACCTTAGTGAAATATTACAGTTCGTCAGCACAGCACTAGCCTACTTCACTTAGTCATCAAACAAATCCCATTATAATATCCTCTATTCCAAAGCAAGTTTTCTCACTGACCTATGAATATATCTTGATCATATCAACAGACTAAGTTATTATAAGCTATGTAAGCTAATGAAATATAAATAAATGCAAATTAAATTGGACAGACACACGTTTGGGCTGGAATTAAATAAGCAAAGTGTTAAAGGCCAATCCAATGTTAACAACTTAATTGGGCCTGGAGGCTGAGAGGCCTGCTGGTTATTGTTTCTGTCGCCTCTATGTCTGTCTGCTCTAGTTGACGTTTCACTAAATGAAAATGAACAACAAAAGAATGAACATTCTAGGCAGGCTGCTTCAGCTCACAGCCATTTGTAGAACCAGAAAGGCTGTTATAACGACAAATAACAGTGGCTATGTTCTGTGCTGAAGTTGTCTGGGGACTGTGATGATATGTAATACCTGTATTTACATGGTAGTTACAGTGTCATTATAATGTAGGTGTACATTGTTAAATTACAACCATAATGTCTGTTTGCAAACTGTGATGCAGAGGTTTGCAAAAGTGGAAAGATAGTAGACTACATATATATGGCTCTGGTACAATAAGGTACCATTACATAAGCTATGTAGATACGGTTTTAGTAATCCTGGAATAATGCCATCAAGGAAAGGTAGAGTGTATTTTGTAAAGGGTTAGGGCTAGATGTTAGCTGAAGCTGTGGTCCAGCAGTAGCAGCTGTCTGAGTGGATGAGGATCTGTAGGGACACACTGTGGAGAGATGTCTAATTAGATCACACAGACACACACGCACACACACACACACACAAACAGGCACACACACACGTATGCACACAAGAATGCACACCACACACACACACACACAATGACAGTGGCATCGCTCTGGGCATAGAGCTATTTTAAGAGATGTCGAAATGGAAAACTCTTCATGCGTTTCATGAATCCTCAGACAAACAGAACTCTGCTGTACATAGTCACAAAGTTCAAAGTATGACACATGAATTTCCACAAACAGTAAATGAAGACTATTTAATTCATACAATGTTACACAATTTTACTGTAATTATGTCTGGACAAAAGATAACAGTATGTGACCTAAATGAAATTATTGCATGATACATGTTCACTTGTTTATTTTAATACATCGTTCCTTACCAATCATTCACATCATTTAACACAACTTTAACATTGTTTAGAAAACTACAGGAAAATCATCACGTCACTAACAGTGCCAATTCAAAGTCGCAGATTCCAGCTACAGTCAACAAACCTCAGTCAGAATTTGAATTACAACATGTGGGAAAACCCACAAACCCAACAGGTTCCACCCAGTTCAGCAAAACATCACAATAACATTACACATAGTTTCCCCTTGAATCTGATTGGCTCGTCAGAGAAATACTGGCAGTCCAATGTCCAGACGGGCATTTTTGGACAGTCATCGGGTGGAGGCACACGCACACACACACACACGCACTTGCACACACACAGGCTTTTCTGGTTACCCCTAGTGTGCTCTGGAGTGTTCATCCTCAAATTCTGAGTGTGTGTGTGTCGATGAAACCATGTTCCATCAATTACCCAGGTGGCTGCTGCACACAGATTAGTATTCAGCCTTTAAATGCAAAGCTCTCTTGTGCTGCAGATACAATCCCTTATCATCCATAATATTCAACATTATCACCCCAGCTCATCGTGTATAAGACCTCTGCCAGTTGTAGATAGCGTGTATATTATGTGAGCATGCGGGCAGCCTCTTACAGGTACTAACACTACGATGTCTGAAGGCTTTGCCCTGGCTGCTACCCCCCAGGCCCCTCCGTCTGGCAGCCAGCTTAGCCCTCTCCTCTGCCGCAATGAAGTCCGTGGTGGCCCTGAAGAACTCCAGCAGGGCTCGGTGGCTCCAGCTAGTCCCAGGGGTCCCTCCACCGGTCACTCCCCCAGAGAAAGCACTCCCTTCCTGGGTGTTAAAGCCACAGTGTCCCCCCTTGGTGGTCAGCAGCAGGAAGAAGTGGGGGTTGCTCTCGAAGAGTTCCAGGGGTAGGGTGGACTGGGGGTCTCCTCTGATAGGGTCATCCTGTGCACAGACACTCAGAACAGGGATGGCGACTTCGTCTACGTCCCGGAGGGGTTCATTGCGTTCCCAGTAAGCCTCCCAGGCTCCCCCACTGCTGCTGCTGGTGCCCGCTGCTAGGGCCGGGGCTCCTTTAGGGCCAGGCGGCTGGCAGAACAGCACCTCCTCCAGGCCACGCAGGGAACAGCTGGAGAAAAGGGTGTCGGTGTGCACTGTTTCACCCAGCACTGTCCTGTACCTAGATATACACAGACACACACACACACACATATTCATGAACACACACACGCAAACAGAAAGACACACACACAATGCCCCCCCCCCCCACACACACACACACACAAACAAACAAGTACAATCAGTAAATCAATCTAGAAGAGCTGCATCCTTGTTAGCATTGATTGTGAAACCACAAGTTGGGTCCCAATGCCCCGCTAGATCAATAGTACGGTGGGCAGGACACCGGTTGCCATGGTTATGGTATTGTATTTGAATCAAATCCTATAATATCAGGGTATGTGACATCATTGCCTTTCTTCTCCTCTTCTCAATCAGGTTTCTCTCTCTCTCCCTCATCCCTCCCTTTCCATCCCTAACCTGTGTGTTTGACCCCTCCCTTCCTCCCCTCTCCCATCCTCTCCCTCCCTCCCCTCTCCCATTCTCCACCTCCCTCCCCCCCCTCCCCCCTCCCTCCCCCCCCCCCTCCTCCCCCCTCCCATCTCTCCCGCTCCCATTCCTCCCCCCTCCCCCCCCCCCAAGCCAGTCCCCCCCGCCTCCCTCCCATCCCCCCCACTCCCCGCCCATCCCTCCCCCCCCCCCCCCCCCCCTCCCCTCTCCCATTCTCCCCCCTCCCCCCTCCCCCCCTCATCCTTCCCCCCCCTCCCTCCCATTCCCTCCTCCCCCCCCCCCCACTCGCACCCTCCCCTCTGCAATCCCCCCCCCCCCCCCCCTCCCTCCCCCTCTCCAATCCCCCCCCCCCTTCCCCTTTCCTCCTCTCCCATCCTCCCCCCCTCCCTTCCCCTCTTCCTCCCCCCTACCTCCATCCCATACCTGCTGAGGCATATCCTCTGGTAAGTCACCAGAGCCCAGTGTAGAGGCCAGATGGGTCCGTTCTCGAACCAGCTCTGGCAGCGGAACACTGGCGAGAGGCAGGCGGCGGCCGTTACGTAGCTGGATGAACCACACTCTCCCAGGTACGCGAGGAGGAGACCGGACCCCGTGCTCTCGCTCACCGCATACAGCTGGCTCACGGGTTGCCGGTAGCGGACGTAACGCACGGCCTCGCGTAGGTCCCCTGGGTCGCCAAACTGCTGCAACCTGACGGTGCTGAGGGGTGTGGCGTTGTGGCTGCGCCGGTTAAACACCACGGGGAGGTAGCCATGGGACAACGCCACCTCACAGAGCTGAAGGACAGAGAAACAGAACATAATGTAATTCATGACAATAAAGCACTTTGAATTTAATTGAACTGACATAGCAGAGTCAGCTTGAGCTCACAGTGAGGTCTCACCTCACTACAGTATGAACTGTGACATCATCAAAGCTGGAGGTAGCGGATGGACAGACAGATGGAGACACAGCGGTCAGTGTGAGCTCCCATAGTGTTAGGTCAATGTAAAAGCCCTATTTAAATACATTAATCCATTAATGCATGATGTTTCAACTGACTATGAACTGTGAGGTCAGATTATGTGAGGTCTTTGGAAAAACCCTACATAAATCTAATCCAACATTGCATGTTTCAACTGACTATGAACTGTAACAACAACAACACAGGCTGCATCTGAAATGGCATCCTATTCCCTATATAGTGCACTAATGATCAAAAGTAGTGCACTTTATAAGGAATAGGGTGCCATTTCAAACACACCCACAGAGTATGAATGTACAGCTTCACAGAGCTATAAGAAGACAGTGATTAGAGAGAGAGACCAAGAGGAAGTGTAACAGATCACTGAATTCAATATTTACAGAGCTGAGAAACCTGCAAGAGCACTTATAGCTGGATATGATCCTTCCTCTCTGCGTTTCTCTCTTTCTCTCTGTGTCTCATCCTTTCCTTCTCTCTCTCTCTCTCTCTCGCTCTCTGTCTCTCCCTCTCTCTCTCTCTCTCTCTCTCTGTCTCTCTCTCTCTCTCTCATCTCTCTGTCTCTCCCTCCTCTTTCTCTCTCTCTTCTCTCTCTCTCTCTCTTCTCTCTCTCTCTTCTCTCTCTCTCTCTCTCTCTCTCTGAATGAATTCATCCTACTACTCTAGTGGATCACAGTAGTATTGAGGCAGCTACACTATTTCATTGAAGTACAGCTGTTTTCCAACATAAGGATGGTAAGGTATAAAGCAGATTAACTTTGCTCCAGTCCTCCATTTGTTTTCCCTCTGGACTATGCTGCCAGTGTCGAGTCCATGAGGAATTATTTTCACTGACACTTGAGAAACACGGAAGCATGCACACGCCCACACACACACTTAAACTCATGCCTGTACAGTCGCAGACACACACCTACACACTGTCACTCAGAAGCATGCACACGCCTGCACAAACACCCGCAGTACATCCTGCCACACACATGCCTGCACACACCCCTGCACACACTCCTACGCATGCATCTGCACACACATTTACACAATGCCACATTCTTCAGACAATTGATGCCAAACTCTCATAAACTCCCACAAATATTGAAGGTCCACCATTCAGCCTGAACACAGCTCTGTGAACAAGAGCAAAGATATTTGTCTCTGACTCGACCAACCGTAGACATGGAGGAAGTAGAAATGACATCATCACTGTCCTAACACAACTGTTAAACATAGAGGCAAAGTCATTATACTACAGTCAAGTTCATCATCAGCATTCCTATTTTGATTAAATGCTTATAGCAACTTCCTCATTAGTGCAACAATGCGTGAGTTAACGCAGAACTTGGGCTTCTGCCATGTTGAAAGACTGAGGGTTTATTTCGAACAATGCACAGAATGTGTGTTTTATGAACCAGGCATTTGTCTTGACTAATTGTGTAATACATGTGTAGTAGACAGTATGGTGTCCTGTGTCTGGACACAAGGCTGTAAAATCCACACTCAGACGTGAGCTCACCTTTGGCTCTATGTCTGACCTTAAAGAGAGCATACAGGAGTCATGGGACACATTTCACCACGACGTTGTTCCCTCCCTTCTCTCGGTCCCTCCCTTATCCCCTTCACAGATCTGACAGTACAGGATAGGCGAAAGCAATATGGTGAAAACTATTTGGAGCTCAATGCTTATACCAACCCAGTCGTCTCAGATCTGTGTTGGGGAGTTAATGAGGGAAAATGGGAGGGGAAAACATTTTTGGACTGAAATGCAGCCTTAGTCAGAATGAACTCTGAAAGATTGCAGACTAGATGGCTACAACTCAGGGCCGTTAGGGAGGTAGAGGGCATAAAACCTATAACTGTCCTCTAACAAATCATCCACCGGACACTCTGCATACTTTTCATACTGTATAGCCAGGCCAGCAAGACCGAGCAGGAATATGGCTGCATCCCAAATGGCATCGTATTCCCTATATAATGCACTACATATGGAATAGGGTGCCATTTGGTACGCAAGCTGCAACACCTGCCATTCACCATCTGTTTGTAGACACTTCTATGGTGTGTGAGTTTGCTGTGATGTAATGTAGGCCTATAAGCTACAGTATACGCCCAACTAACATAACATGGGGGAGGGGGTAAAACAAAGACAATCTCTTTATGAAAAAGGATGACAAAGCCTCATCTAGAAAGGATGATGTCCAAACACACACTGATTTATCTCTCTCAAAATACATAAATGTACTCTCTCTCCTTATCTCGTTCTTCCTCTCCCTGTGCCTTCCATCGCATCTCTCTCTTTCCCTCACCTTCTCTCTCTCACTCACTCTCTCTCTCTCTCTCTCTTTCCGACTCCCTCTTTCACACACACACACACATACACACACACACTTGGAGCTGACCCAGAAAGACTAAATAAAAAAGCATCTAACAGAATTTGCCCTTTACTCACTCTCTCTTTCTTCACCCTCTCGCTCACGCTGATGCTCACTCAATCTCCCAGCAAAAAGGAAAGTCAAATCTGACAGAATTCGCTTTTAGTTCAATCTTTCTTCCCATATCCCTCTCTATCTCTTCCTCCCTCATCTCCCTAGGCTACAGACATAAAAATAATTCACTTAAACATGCCTACTGCTGACAGGCTGTTGATAGTGGATCAGCGCCTATGAATGCTCCCATTTTTGACAGACTAGAGTAGTAGGGGGTGCTGTTGGTCAAGTTTGTGACTTATTGTTGCTCACAAAAGTAACAGAGTACACAAATCAGGCTTGTAACAATGCAAGCCTGGCCAGATTGGCCGGTTTTACACTCAATTGGGCTGCTTTATAGTGGATTGGGCAGGTTTTTTGATCTAGTCGGGGTAGAAAATGTCTAAAGAATCTGGCAACATTGCCTGGACCGCAGGGAACAGTGAATCATTATAAGGCTAATGGGCATTGGAGTGTAGCCTGGTCCCAGATCTGTTTATTTGTGGTATGAGTTGGCAAGACAGCACAAACCAATCTGGGACTAGATTATTGGGAGTGCAGCTGCAGTGATGTGATCCTTTCACTCACAGCCCGCCCAGGCAGAGCAAAGCCTTGTAAAGTGTTTCTCAATTACCACAATCACTATATTGAACCCTGGTTTTAATGCATGGCACTGTGCTCTTGTTGTTCGCTTTCTTGCTCTCCTCCTCACCTTGCCAAGACTGACTTGAACCAAGATGCCCCCCATGCTCAATGGGAATAGGCATTGGCACTGGTACTTTCTCATATCTCGTCCAACCTCCTTTTCTACACCACTGCAATGATGAATTAAACATAATTTCACTATTTATGTAATTTCACCATTACTAATAACTTCACAGATTGAACCTTCAGCAATCAATGGTATAGCAGTGAATTGTATGACCATGAGACAGGCTTTGTTATGTGTATGCATATAATATATGATTACCAAATAAGTCATAATAACTACACTGTAACGGAAAACTGTAAATTATACGGTAATTCGGGTTATTATCAACAGTAAAATATGCTGAAACGTTTTTCTGCCACATATGGTAAATGATGGTGCATTGTGGGCAAATGTTGTGGGAGGGAAATAATTGCTGTATTTCAAATGGTAATGTAATTCCACCCCACAGAATAAAGTACCGTAATGTATCTTTGCAGCACCAAAAACCTTTTGACCACTAGTAGGTGCATGGTATTGTTGTTTCTGGCTCATTAACATATTTTGAGGCGTGCCTTGTAAGAGGCTGTTTTGTTGCACCTGTGAGTGAGAATTCTGTAACAATTTAACTCCTTTCTGGTTATAGTGCTCCATCAATTTGTATGGGGGACAGATTGGAGTGGCAGCAAGTCTTAAATCTTAAATGGTTGAGCATTTTGCCATGCCCTTCTGGTCTGTTTTGATCTGTAGTCGCTGCCAATTTGGAAGCTTTTGTTAAGGCCTCTAGAAGTGCAAGTGATATAAAACACAAAATATTCATTAATATGCTGTAATGTGTCAACACTTTCCCTAGCAGCCAACCTGCTTGCACTAATCCTTTGTAATTACAGTAAAATACTGTGAAATACAAACCCCTCCCCTCAATTAATTTAATTAATTCATCCATCCATTCATTCATTCATACTGATTACAGTACAATACAGTATAAAACAATTTTACGGTATTGTACTGCATGTCAATATAAAGTACTTGCTTTGAGACTTGCCACCAAGCTGCTTGTAAGCTACTGTAAATTCATAGTGTATAGATGATATCTAGAGCTTACATAAATCTTATTTCTGCCCCTGAAACAGTCCACAACAGCCCCAAATAGACATCCATAGTACTGTAACACTGTAAGCTATGTTCTAAGTAACAGCTATTTTGTCAGAGCAGAGGTAAAAAGGAGCAAGACAATTAGTATAATGTAGCCCCCATTAAGACCATAAGACAGCCTTAGCACACAGGCCTAATAACAGGTGTAGGTGGGCACTGGGCACATTATGGTTGAGGGTGTTTTCACATGATGAACAAGAATAAGCCTGGTTATGAGCATATTTTGCATGACATTTCATCATTCATTAATCATGAGGCTACCTTCAGCACATTTCTAGTGATTTTCCCGAAAGAGTTGGGTATGATGAGGAGGATGGGGCTCGTGGAATTACTCGAGGTTCTCCTCCGTTTCTGATACGACGCACCGGCCACCGACACTGCCCAGTCCAGTGCCACGAGACCATCGTCGCTCAACTGCAAGTAGTCCCGCACGAAATGCACCCGGCTCTTGTACGGCCAGCACGCGCCGTAGACGGTCTGAAGAAACGCACTCGCCCGCCATGTCCATCCCGTGCACGCCGTGAAATTGCTGAAAGTCCTGCAGTGTTTGAGGAGATAGTTGGCCAGGGCCGAGGGTTTGCATATCAGCGCAACGGCGGGGACTTTATTATCACCTTCCACGTCCGGTGTCTGGGCATTAGCACCGTCCACCGGGACCCCCCGGTCTGAGACGTCCCTCTCCTTTGTTTGCCGCCGTGAAATTCCGAGCTCCCGGAGGAGTGCGTCTGGCTCGCCCTGGGTAGCAAAATATTTCGAAGCTGGCCAAATAACGGCCACCAGAATCACAATACACAAAACCACAAGCCATTCCAGCATTTGAACGGTGGGGAATAAACGGTCACTTCCACGGATGTTCTATAGACCTACAGTTATTTTTTAATTCAAGTCAACCAAAGCTAATATTAAAGCACAAAGAATAAGGCGGACCATCTTGAGTTGGTTGAAGTCTTCTTCTCACAAAGCACAACGTGCGCGTAACCATATATACCATTCGTTGGGAGAAACCAGAATGCGCACAGCCACAAGTTCTCCACTTTCTTTCCTACAGTAACATTTCAACTTTGATATCTCCAGCCTTTTATGGTTGATTAGATTTTCTGTTCAGAAGGGATCCTTACTGAAAACAGATTGTTGAAGCAGTTTCGTTGGCTGCTCGTAACTGACTGAAACCCACTGTTTCAAAATAAAGCTTTCCACTCCAGAATGGCTGCCTTCTTCAAGGTGCATTCCTGGGTAAATTACGCAAAGTGTTTTCTCGGACAGAACATGAAAGGCATGGACACCACCTCTCCAAGTCGTTCCAAATCGGGATACATGGTGTTCTCGGAGTGCGCCTTTGAATTGTCAGTAATTACGTGCAGAGCTGCGCAAGCTTCGCTCCTCAACCTCAACAGCTGTGTGAGCGAGAGAAACGTCAGAATGCATTGCACTGTTTATGCTTCAAGTGCGAGGCAGGCAAGCGCCTCCCAGCTCCCATATAGAACACCACGGTGTCAGACTGTAAGAGGCGAAAACATCTCCTATAGAATTGTCTTATCTCTTTCAAAGTAGTCTTGCTATGTGAAATAGTATGGCTAGATGTAGGGAATAGGGCGCCATTAGGGAGGCAATCTATGTTAGGTTGTGCTCGCAAACCGCTGCTTGTAGGGGTGATGGTGATGCAGTTGTTGTTGTTGTTCTGGACCTATCTGAAAATGGTGGCAGACTGACAGAGAGCTGTAGCCTGCCAGGGAGGACTGATGGTGAGGACCAGACTGACAGAGAGCTGTAGCCTGTCAGGGAGGACTGATGATGAGGACCTGTGGTGGATGAGTCAGTGTAATGAACTGGGCAGATAGCAATAGACAAGACAGCAGAACATTGTGTTTGTCCCCTTGTTTCACACACACGCACCCACCCACCCACATCTTTCACAGTAACACCCTTCCTGATGTTATCCACCAAGCATATTGAGTACTTGGAGAAGACAAGAGGCAATTTATTTTGCTTTATTCAACACTTAGTTAGGTCTTTGTAAAGTCCATTAAGAGAAGCGTGTGCCTTTTGTGTTTGGTAACTGTCTGTGATTGTTGCAGCTTTCTCTAGAGGAGTTTGTCATCGACTTTCATAAAAGGTTTCCACCCACCATCCTTTGGGATTCCTAGAAAATGTGTTGAATAAATGGCACTGTTGTAAGGTAATAAACATAGTGTATACATGGCTTGAATCCAAGCGTGTGTGTACAGTTGAAGTCGGAAGTTTACATATACCTTAGCCAAATACGTTTAAACTCAGTTTTTCACAATTCCTGACATTTAATCCTAGTAAAAATTCCCTGTCTTAGGTCAGTTAGGATCCCCACTTTATTTTAAGACTGTGAAATGTCACAAAAATAGTAGAGAGAATGATTTATTTCAGCTTTTATTTCTTTCATCACATTTCCAGTGGGTCAGAAGTTTACATATACTCAATTAGTATTTGGTAGCATTCAGGGGCGGTGTGTTCAATAGGGCGATATGGGCGACGCACTGCCAAACGGGAAAAGGAAGGGATTTTTTTTCTAATCAATTATATCACGGCAACAGTAGTTATCAGTGTTGTAATCTAGACGTCTGATCTGCCACAGTGCCACTAAATGTCCAATCAGGCTAAAGTCGTGCTTCAAATGGCCCCCCCCCCCTTTTGGGGCGATTTCAGTCAGGTTGAAAATCGCCCAGAAGTCTGTCATAGACTCCCATGTAAAATCTATTTTTTTCAAATATCAGAGCTTTCAATACAATCTCTATGGGTTTCTGAGGGCTTGCACTTACGCGCTTTCGTCATACGTAACGTAACCATGAACGTAACTAAGAAAAGAGCGGGTAGCCTCATCAATCAATTCACTACTACTATCAAAATAGCTAGGCTTCAGTGCAACTCGATTGTGTCTTTGAAAGAAGTTCCTTTTTGTCGGCGAACAAATGAAGATAAATTGGCAACGAAACAATTAGGACCTCCCAGACCAAATTTAATAATTCAACAGGTTTCTACTAAAGGGGGGAAGTCCTACACCCGAGGATTTTCCAAAAATTGGTACGAACGAAAAACCTGGCTAGCAGGCTGCGATGTAGCTAATGCAGTCTTCTGCTACCCCCTGCTTACTCTTTCACCCTGAAGGCGGCACGGCAGACAGCACCGCTTGGACAGCGACTGGTGTGTAACGGACATGCACCATCTTTCAGGAAAGATTAAGAAACATGAGCTGTCAAAGACCCACATGGATAGCTGTTTGAGATTGTCTACTTTGGGGAGAGTGAACATTCCCACTCAACTGGATGAGGGATACAGGCTAGCTGTCCGCCGCCACAACGATGAGGTTAGTGTTGATAATCACAAGTTTACTGGAGAACTGAAACTGACAAGGCTGACAAGATAGGACCCTTTTGTCCATTGTTATTGGATAGGAACAGAACTTATAACCAGCTCCTGACCTAAATAGATCTTAGCACAACATTTTACTCAACATATCATATTCCATATTCACTATAACAAATATATTTACTACGACATTAGCAAGAACCGCCACATCCTCAGCCGGCTAATCCAGTGTGTGAAGTTTTGCGGAGTGTTTGAGTTAGCTTTGCGAGGCAAAGATGAAACTGAGGGCTCCACCAACCCTGGTAAGCCAACACTTTTGAGATCAGTCAATAAATGCTTCTGGTATTGACTTATATGCTGCCCCTGTCTTCATGTTGTTGCTGGACATATCTTTTTTACAATGTGTGTAGGTCACCTAAATCATCAGAAAAATTGCCCCCCCTGAGAATTTTTTCAGGAGCCGCCACTGGTAGCATTGCCGTTAAATTGTTTAACTTGGGTCTCGGGTAGCCTTCCATAAGCTTCCCACTATAAATTGGGTGAATTTTGGCCCATTCCTCCTGACAGAGCTGGTGTAACTGAGTCAGGTTTGTAGGCCTCCACAAATGTTCTATAGGATTGAGGTCAGGGCTTTGTGATGACCACTCCAATACCTTGACTTTGTTGTCCTTAAGCCATTTTGTCACAACTTTGGAAGTATGCTTGGGGTCATTGTTCATTTGGAAGACCCATTTGCGACCAAGCTTTAACTTCCTGACTGATGTCTTGAGATGTTGCTTCAATATATCCACATAATTTTCCTTCCTCATGATGCCATCTATTTTGTGAAGTGCACCAGTCCCTCCTGCAGCAAAGCACCCCCACAGCATGATACTGCCACCCCCGTGCTTCACGGTTGGGATGGTTCTTCGGCTTGCAAGCCCCCCCTTTTTCCTCCAAACATAACGATGGTCATTTTGGCCAAACAGTTCTATTTTTGTTTCATCAGACCAGAGGACATTTCTCCAAAAAGTACGATATTTGTCCCCATGTGCAGTTGCAAACTGTAGTCTGGCTTTTTTTATGGCAGTTTTGGAGCAGTGGCTTCTTCCTTGCTGAGCGGCCTTTCAGGTTATGTCGAAATGGGACTTGTTTGACTGTGGATATAGATACTTTTGTACCCGTTTCCTCCAGCATCTTCACAAGGTCCTTTGCTGTTGTTCTGGGATTGATTGCACTTTTCACACCAAAGTACGTTCATCTCTAGAAGACAGAATGCGTCTCCTTCCTGAGCGGTTTGGTGGCTGCGTGGTCCAATGGTGATTATACTTGCGTACTATTGTTTGTACAAATGAACGTGGTACCTTCAGGCATTTGGAAATTGCTCCCAAGGATGAACCAGACTTGTGGAGGTCTACTTGGCTGATTTATTTTGATTTTCCCATGATGTCAAGTAAAGAGGCACTGAGTTTGAAGGTAGGCCTTGAAATACATCCACGGGTACACCTCCAATTGACTCAAATGATGTCAATTAGCCTATCAGAAGCTTCTAAAGCAATGACATCATTTTCTGGAATTTTCCAAGCTGTTTAAAGGCACAGTCAACTTAGGGTATGTAAACTTCTGACCCACTGGAATTGTGATACAGTGAATTATAAGTGAAATAATCTGTCTGTAAACAATTGTTGGAAAAATTACTTGTGTCATGCACAAAGTAGATGTCCTAACCGACTTGCCAAAACTTTAGTTTTTTAACAAGACATTTGTGGAGTGGTTGAAAAACAAGTTTTAATGAGTCCAACCTAAGTGTATGTAAACTTCTGACTTCAACTGTATGTGTGTTGTATTGTGTTGTGTTGTGTTGTGTTGTGTGTGTGTGTGTGTGTGTGTGTGTGTGTGTTGTATTGTGTTGTGTTTGTGCGTGTGTGTGTGTGTGTGTGCTTAGACATTAACCAGACTGCAGTCTGCTGTTGGTGCATTTGGTTCAACTGTTTATCTTTGAGCCTATGATGAGACAATTTAATTAGGTGAGATACAAGAAGACAACAGTTAATGTTACTAATGAGGCTGAACCAAAGTAGAAAAATTAAGAAATTAACTGAACAGAACTTTGGCCTCACTCATCTTTTTAATAGTCATGAAAATATATTATATTCTAAGTCTGTGGAGCAAGGGATGCTGATAAGAAAGTGAAAGGGAGGAAGAGACCAAGAGGAGTGAGAGGGAGGATAGTTTATCTAGAGAGAGAGAGAGAGAGAGAGAGTTGACGTACAGTAAGGATAGGGGTTATGAAGCTTGGAGGTTATCGTTATATATTGTTCAACACACCTGCTTCTCAGGACATGTTATGGCCCTCAAGGGACATCACACACACCCTCAAGGGACGTCACACACACACACCCTCGAGGGACGTCACACACACACACCCTCGAGGGACGTCACAGGATATCTAAAAACAAGCACACACCCTTTATTGTTTTGTTTAGGGACGACAAATTGTTTCTGCATGACCCAAGGTTTTGGGAACACGTGCAGACACAGTCACACACACACACACACACACACACACACACACACACACACACACACACACACACACACACACACACACACACACACACACACACACACACACACACACACACACATACACACACACACACTGAAGTGTACCACTCCTCATCCATTATTGAACACTGATCCAGGGACGTGGTGCTAAATCTGAACTCCCTCCCCAGGAGTGCTGACTAAATGTAAAAAACACTGGCAGGAAATAAAACCCAGGTTCCATCTCAAATGGCACCCTATTGTCTATTTAGTGCACTACTTTTGAACAGGGCCCATAGGACTATGGTCAAAAGTAGTGCACTATATAGGGAATTGGGTGCCATTTCGGACGCAGCCCCAGTCTGCTTCTGCAGAACAGAATGTCTGAATTATAACAACCAGCATACAGTATGCATTATGAATGACATATCTCACAGCTGTAGCATTGATCGTTCAGCGGAGGACATACTAGTTTAATATAGGGTGTGTTTGAACTGGGAATGAGAAATTAAACACTATTAATAGATTTATGATTAAGTATTCAGTGCTTGATGATGGTGCACTAAATACAGATTTTGACAGCTGATCTCTATATTCTACTCTACATGATCA